TACTTAAGATGTTTTCCATCTAATTAATTTTAGTTATCCAATACAAGCATGTTCGTTGCTCATCTTACTTGAATTGGAATCTAGTGAGACTAGTGTAGTAACTATGAAGGATTTGATATCCAATGAGATATAATGACCATTTGATATGTCTAAATTTTATGTATTTTGATTCCTTCTAGATTTATGATTATGCAAAGGATTCTCACCTTTTCAGAGTTTTTTTACATGGGATGAACTGTATCTTCTATAAAATGCGAAAAAACTACTTATCAAGACAAGGTGGTGACCTGAGAAATTTTTCATGTTGTGTTGAGAAATTAATACGAGCACGGGGAGGTTCTTGTTTTGATCAAAGTATGCAGCTAACGAATCAATCCAAGGACTGGATTGATTAAACGAAACTCAAACCAAAAACAAAAATTGTTCTTGGGTGTTTGGGATAAAACGGAACCAAACGGGCAATTCCACACCTGGGGAAAGGCTCGATTGGTATAAAGATAGATGTCAGATCACGATCAATGAGTTCTTAATTGATACAAGAGCTCAACGAGTTTGGAATCCACCAAACTCCATACAAGTACGCAAACTTTTAACTAGTAAAAACTAGGTTTTAATTCAATCAAAAAAGTCCTCCTCTTTACAACGAAAAGAAAGGCTACTTATAGCCAAAATAAACCTAATACAATCCTAGATTAACAAGGAAACAAATTGAAACAGAGAAAGATAAAGAATTCATCCTAAACAAGGTAACTTGAACACTAAGAAACTAACTTAAAACGCAAGTAAATTGCAACATTGAGGCAGGGAATAGTCATCAATAATTACTATGGTGAAGCCCTAATAGTTCATCAGTCAAGAAATTGCAATATGGCTCATATGCGTGCAGGTCATGTTCAATAGAAAGTATACTATCAATTTCTCTTCCATTCAAGTCTATGGGAGATAGATTGGTTTGCATCTATGATAAGACCAGGAAGTATAGGGTCAATACAAGGTGCCAGACAATGCGGATACTCCAAGGTCTTATAAAGCATTCATGTTTCTCCGGAACTTTAGGGCTTAGGATAGGGTCAGTAACCATTGGTTACTAACCTATAAGTAACTAAATCTGGACCTTTAGATTTAAGTGGGTCCAGAAAATTCGTATCTAAGGGTTGTCAATTAAAGGCATATTATTTTCCCTAGTTTTATTAATCCGCTGTTATCTTCTTCGTTCTAACTCGTATTTCAATTTTTTTTGCACAGATGGAACGAGTTCGTTGTGCTCTACAAAATGAGATCAATTTTCAATATATTTCGAGAAACTTTTTTTTACCAACTACATACCATATGGTAACTTCTTCGTTTTTAAGTCGTTTTTTAAAATATTTGCTCAGAAGGAACGAGTTCATCATGATCTATTTGATCTATAAATTTCTGGTGAAAAAAATACTGGACTAAAAATTACCATAGTTTACCACTATGGTATGTGGGTGGTAACTTGTGGTAACTTGTAGTAAACAAAGATGAAAGTCGTAAATGACAGTTAGTATACTCCTACTATCATGTATTCAACCTTCTTACCATATTGGTATGTTCATACCATCATAGTACGCTTTCTTACCATATGGTATTAAATAGGAGCATACCATATGGTAATGCTTGGTAAAAAATTATTCAATTTTTTGTACTAAAATTATATCAAAATGGATATCATTTTAAAGAGCACATTTAATCTGATTTATCTGTGCAAAAAAAATTAAATTTCGACTTAAAACGAGAGAGAAATCATCCGTTAAATATTAAAAGGGAATAGATAAAAGACTTTTCAGGAGAGACAGGATACTGATGTCATGCTGATATGGACAGGTTACTCATGGTTACTGGCCATAGGGTTACTGACTTGATCCGTTCCCGAACTTTAGTCTTTCCTGTGGCGGGTAGTCCATGAGTTTGTCCCCCTTCCCAAAAAGTTTGGAAAAAATCCTAAAATACACATGTTTTAAAAAAAAATTCAAAATACACACGTTATAAAAAAAATTCCAAAATACACACGTTTTAAAGAAAATTTCCAAAATACACATGTTTGGGCATCACCGCGGCAGACCAAAACGGTGAATGCGTGAAGTAACACTGAAACTTCTAAAAAATGTAACTTTGCACTCGGTTATCCGATTGTAGCGATTTTTTTATTCCACATAACTTTTTAAGATCTTTCAGTCTGCAACAAGCCTTCATCCCAAAAATATTTCGTTTGCTACCCCGAACGAGTAATTTTTCGATTTTGACAAACTTTGGAAGATCATAACTTTGTGCTACACAATCCGAATGTCATGAAATTTTTTTTGATTTCGCATAACTTTTGAAGGACTACAAATTTGATTATAACCATAATTTTGGAAAGCATGTGGATTTGTGAAAAGTAAAGGCAAAGTTATTGCCAAAATCCCGTATACCAAAAAATATTTCTTTTTAAAAAATTCTTTCCTAGTAAAAGTTATAGTTCATAAAAAGTTATGCACAATCAAAAAAAAATTATGACGTTCGGATTGAGGAGCTGAAAGTTATGGCCTTACAAAGTTTGACAAAATCAAAAAATTGCTCGTTCGGGGTAACAAACGACATTTTTTTTTAGATTAAGTCTTGTTTCAGATTGAAAGATCTTGAAAAGTTATATGGAATAAAAAAAAAATTCGCTGCAATCGGATAACCGAGCGCAAAGTTACGTTTGTTTGAAGTTTTAGTGTTACGTCAGACATTCACCGCGGCCGTCAACCGCGATGTATTTTGGATTTTTTTTTTTTTTTAAACAACATGTGTATTTTAGGAGTTCACCCAAAAAATTTATGGAGGAAAGGCGAAGTCGATAGCAGGGTGTAGTGTTTGTTGTCTCGTAAGTTAAACCGTATTCCATTGCTTTACTTGTAGGGTAGCAGTTGAGCTTTGGACAATGGCAGGGTTGGCCGGTTGGAGAACATCCAACTTAAACTTTCGGAAGGAAATCCAACTATTGCTTGGCACTTAATTTTCTTTTCCGCTCACTTATCTAAATTTGAGGTTGCTAATTAGAGGTGTCAATTGGGCGGGTTGGGTCGGGTTCAGATTGGGTCTAACCGGGTTGGGTTCAATCGGGTTGCAAGTTCAATCGGGTCGTTTTCAATTTGGATCGGGTTTAATTGGATTGCAGGTCAATTGGGTTACGAGTCAATCAAGTCACTGGTCAATTGGATTACGGATCGGGTTGGGTTATGTGTGCATCAAATTACTGGTTTATTGGATTGCATGTTAATTCGGGTTCGGTCAGGTCGGATTATGGGTTATTTGGGTCAACCCATTGGATCATTTACTTCTTAACAGAAAATATTGTTTTACAAACTATCAATATATGAATATGAATTGTAGGTCATGATATAAAATTTAAGAAAATGATAATATGATAATATTTTACACATACAAATTAAATATCCATTATGTTAGTATAAAAACTAAATATAAATAAAATAGTGTATATAAAAGATTTGTTGGTTATAATTTTTTTTGTTTATGGTGAGAGATTGTAAGTTCACTTATTTTATTAATTTATAAAAAAATTGAATCAGTAAAATTTGAGAATGAAGTAAAAAAGGTAGAATATATGCTTATACATCTTGAAATGAATCGTCTTAATTAAATATAGTATGAACTAGATGTGTGTCTCTTCATTTCCACAAAGACTTATGAACATCATTCCGAATCACCCACTTATATATCTTCACAATTTTTTATATATTCACGGTAACATCTCATCCTAAAACTCATGGGTCGAACAACGGTTCGCTCAAATATGATATTATCATCTAGTTCGAATCGTCGACTTATTAATTTATAAAAAATAAATAAAATCAGTAAAAAGTTGAGAATGAAATAAAAAGGGTAAACTATACACTTATATCTTGACAGGGATCATTGATTTCATTGATTTTAGGGATTTCAATGATTTTCAAGGATTGATTTTTTTAATATTTTTATGGGTGATGGAGATACGAATTTGTGTCTAACTCTTCCTATTATCTTAAAAAATTTATCTTTGAATTTCATAAAATAAAAAATGAATGAAAAGATATTTCATATATTATTATTTTAAAATTTAAATATTTAAGAAAAAACCTCAATTTATACCATCAATTCTACAAATAATTTTCAATTACTATGAGAACAACAGTTCTTTCTTGGTAAATTTAAAAATATAATAGTTATAAAAAAATTAAAAATATAATAATGTATACATTGAATTTTTGTACAAACATTCGGGTCAAATGGGTTATTCGGGTTATTCGAATTGGGTTCGGTTCGGTTACGAGTTATTTGGGTTATAAATCATTCGGGTTATGGGTTGGATCGGATAAAGAGTTCATCGAGTTATGGGTTGATCGGATTACGGGTCAATTGGTTTCGGGTTACGCACGGGCTTTGGGTGGTTGACTTTTTGTCATATCGGGTTACGGACGGGTTGTGGGTCGGGTGGGTTGGACGGGTTAGTCAGGCCGGGTTCAATTTTGACAGCTCTATTGCTAATATGGTATGTTAGAAACTACGCATGCGGACGAGCTCTTTTGGCCACAGAATGATGCTTTTATGATATGTGCAGGAAGGATCGTTTCGGGTTGGCCAAGCTTCCACATATGAAGTGAAATGAGATTAGTTTTAGAACAATTCCCGTAGCTGAACTTAGCTGGGCTGGGGGGTGTCTTGTTATTGAGTTGAGAGGCTCTTAATTTCGAGGGTTTTTTGTACCCTGCTGTCAAAATACTCATTTTGCAGCTAACTAGGAAGTCTGCAATGAATCAGAGGAAAGGGCAAGATAATTGTTCCATGTCTCAGACAGTCGTCAACTGCTACTACATTAGCCTTTACTTCAACACTGCAATTGTGAATCCTCACATGACAATAATAAACTCGAATGTACTTTAATTGACGGTTCAGCGCCAAACTGACAGCATAAAGAAGAGGAAGGAAAAAAGAAAGAGAATTATAACAGTTGTAGCAACGAAGCTGAAGTTTAGATTACAAGCGGGCGCAATAGTGTTTGCAACCACAACAAAGTGCTCAGAAGTTATTATTAGGAAGCAGAGCAGAGACATGTATCTGTCTGTGTGTGCACGCTACGTAAATACGATGTTAACAGGACATCCAACACTATCAAGTTAGGGGGAGGATGTGGTCGCAGTAAGAGAAAACTTGCTTCTCTATCTAACAGACTTCATTCTGACAACTGTGACTTACCAATGAAACTGGGGAGGGCGTTGTTGTAGCTTTGCTGCTCCGTTGAACCCAACAGTTGTGGCTTCCACCATACAGACCTTGCAGTTTCTCATACCTTGGAATTGGAGTAGGCCAACAAAAGATCTTTGGCTGGAATATGCTCCAACTACATTGAGGCTCATCGAAGAATCTCAGCTCCTGGCTCCTCAAATCGAAGGTCAATATATTCACATCCTCATGACTACAATGTCGTAAGAAGACAATTTCTGGGTTCCCTGGATGCAGATCAAGTACTCTCCATGCATTGACTTCATAGTTAACCCGTGATGACGTCGTCTTCAACAAAGAAGATTCATATTGCATCGTCCAAGTTTCAAGGTCCCCTTCCAGTCTCCAAACATACAAGTCGAAAGGAAAATTTTCACCTTCAAGTACAACTATGTAAAAAGCACCTCGTGAGACAGAAACATTCCACTCCAAATCTGAACAAAACACGTCTAGTTTTATAGATGACATATGTTGATATAAACACACCACCCCGGAACCGATACTCAGAATAAGCAAATGCTTTCCCGTCTCCTAGGTCAAGATTGCAAGAGCTACGGGGTTCGCAGAGTAACCTAGGGAACAATTTTGAAGACTGAGTCGACTTTTCTGGCGCTAAAGGAAGAGCGACCCATTGCTCTGTAAACGGATTACAGAGAAAGAAAGATCTGGCAAGTTCGCCACTAAAAACGGGTCCATCTGGCCCCATTACCTCCTCAAACCCGCATAGAATCAAGTCCATGAAGGAATCCATAACCAGGAAACGGTAATACCTTCGGTAGCGAACTTCCTGAGGCACGGGGAGGAAGCCGAAGACGTGATCCCGGGAGTAGGAGAACATCAGAGGTGGTTCCCCTTCCCCTTCCTTCCTTCTCTTCTGGTGAGAAACGAAACAACTATTGAAGTAGGAACCGGAGATCAGAGAGTTCCACTGCTTGCAGACAAGTTTGCAGCAGTAGGCGCACTTAGGGATTGGGAAGCTGCGAATTAGAATTTCTACGAGGAGATATTCTCCTAGCTTGTTGATCAGGGCTCAAGATAGGGTGCATAACCAAATCTGAACCCTTCATTTAGAAAATCCAGATTTAAGGATGGAGAATTAAAAACATTTTTATTTTCTCTAGCTTTCTTAATCGGCTCATATCTTTTTCATTTTAACTCGGATTTTAAATTTTTTTGCACAGGTGGAACGAGTTCATCGTGCTCTACAAAATGAGATCAATTTTAAATATTTTTTGAGAAAAAAAATTCTGGCATCTCGATACCAACTGCATACCATATGGTATTTTCTTCATTTTTAATTCGTTTTTGAAAACGTTTGCACAGAAGGGACGAGTTCATCATGATCTATTAGATCTACAAATTTCTGGGTGAACAAATTACAGGACCAAAAAATACCACACAATACCATACAATACCACCCTGGTACGGGGTGGTATTGTATGGTATCTTCTTCGTTTTTAATTCGTTTTTGAAAACGTTTGCAAAGAAGGGACGAGTTCATCATGATCTATTGGATCTACAAATTTATGGGTGAACAAATTACAGGACCAAAAAATACCACACAATACCATACAATACCACCCTGGTACGGGGTGGTATTGTGTGGTATACAATGTTAAAAGTCGTAAATTACAATTAATATACTTCTACTATCATGTATTCAACCATCCTACAGTATTGGTTTGTTCATACCACCTTGGTACGTTTTTCAAAACATAGGTATGCTTTTATTTCAATACCAGTCAATACCATATGGTATAGGCTGGACAAAAAATTGCTCAATTTTTTTGTTTGAAAAATATATTAAAGTGGATATCATTTTGAAGAGCACAATTAATCTGATCTAACTGTGCAAAAAAAATTAAATTTCGACTTAAAATGAGCGAGAAATCGTCCGTCAAAGATTAAAGAGGGAAAAATTAAAGGTTTTCCATGAAAGAGAGGATGCTGATGTCATGCTGATGTAGACGGGTTACTCATGGTTACTCACCACAAAGTTACTCACCTGATATGCTCCCGTTGATCAGAGGACAAGGGTTGCCTTCTGAGCCGATTAAACGTTGTTTTCCAGAGGAACAAGGGAGAAAACGAGCGCCTGTCGGAAGATACCGAACCGAGTTGCAATTCTCGGTCGCCATGGAAGGAAGGAAGATACCAACGCCGGGGTCCGGATAGTAACCATCAGTAACCCCTTCCCTTTGCCCCCACGTGTCAGCTTTTTCTTTTTATTTAAAAAAAATACGGAGGGCACTAAGGTAAAATTGCACCCCCTATTTAATGATGTCTCTGACGCGCTGACGCTGACCAGATCACATCAGCGCCTTCTCTCTCCTCAAACAGCCTTTAATTTTCCTTCTCTTAATCTTTAACAGACGATTTCTCACTCGTTTTAAGTCGGAATTTAATTTTTTTTGCACAGTTAGATCAGATTAATTGTGCTCTTCAAAATGATATCCACTTTGATATTTTTCAGAAATAAAAAAATTTGTCAGTTATTACCAGTCTATACTATATGGTAATGACTGGTATTGACCATACCATATGGTATGAAAAAATTTGTCACATCAATATATATTACGTTATCACCCAATACCATATGGTATAGTGTGGTAATATCAATATATATTTCGTTACCACCCAATACCATATGGTATAGTGTGGTAATATCAATATATATTTCGTTACCACCCAATACCATATGGTATAGTGTGGTAATATCAACATATATTTCATTACCACCTAATACCATATGGTATAGTGTGGTAATATCAACATATGGTAAATCTAACTACCATACAATACCACCATAGTAGAACATGGTTAATCGAATGAACACAAATTAATTGTAATTACCATACAATACCACATGGTATGAGAAGGTAAAACCATACAAAAATAATATAAATCTAATTACAACCCTTTACGACCATAGTAAAACACAATATCCATAAAAATACATTTCGTTACCACACTTTACCATATGGTATAGACACTTTACCATATGGTATATACACTTTACCATATGGTATAGTGTGGTATATACACATTACCATATGGTATATACACATTACCATATGGTATAGTGTAGTAATCTCGGTATATATATACAATTACGACTCTCTTCACTTTCTTCTCCAACTTCATTGTCTTCTAACTCTTTTTTCTCAGAACTGGAGTCGATTACCACCCAATACCACTATGATAAAACTCGTGACCATAAAGATACATTTAGTTATCACACATTACCATATGATATAGTGTGGTAATATCAATATATATTACCTAAAAGGAAGAAAAACAGAAGGAGGGAGAGTCAAAAAAACTCATCTTCTGTTCCTCTCATTTCTCCTCCGCAATCAAGAACACCAAATGCAACAAAAAAAGAGGAGGAAGATCGGAATTGAAAATTCACAAACAAATACTAAAATATAAAACATGAAAACTTAACTCACATAGATTCGTCCCCTCTTGGTCAATATGAAACGTCATCTATTTTGAGGCCGAGAAAAGAAAGAACATAAGGAAGAAGCAGCTGCAAAGAAGGATTTGGATCGTCACCAGATTTTGAGGCATGATGCTGCAATTTTTCTTTGTCAATTGTTGAAGAAAAAAATAAAGAACAAAAGAAATGAACATATCTAGATCTAGGAAAAGGAGTTTGGAAGAGAGAAGGAAGAGAGGAAGGGAAAGAGAAAAGAGGGAGGAAGTGAAAAGTCTGGTTTCTCTTTCCTCCGTAAAAGTAATAATATAAATGCTAGAAAAGTAGAAAAAGACAAGAAATAAAATTCAAAAACCGGACAAAAATGCCCCTGACCATCACCGCATCAACCACAGCCACACGATCAGCCCGGCCCAGATCTATAGTCCTAAAATGGTTACTCACGGGTGAGTAACAAAGGGTTACTCACCCTATCCTAAAGCCCCAACGCCGGAGGAGGAGACGGATTCAGTCGGTAGCATCCGAGATCGAAACGCCAATTTTCTTCCCTTTCATTGATAAATAAATGAAAGCTCTAATCCTTGAGCATTTTAAAGGGAATATTAGGGTAATTTGCACCGCCTTCGTTCCTTCCCTTTTGCTGGAAAGAATAGGATTAAAAAAATCAGAATCGAACCGAAGCAGGACCCGGTAATGCGAATGGCTTGCACTTTAGTGGTCCAACGGGCAATAGACCGTTTAAAAACCGTTAGAGAACCGGTATATAATAAACGTTATCAGTATAAATAACGTACATTTCTTAATTAGAGCTCGTCTCTTTCCTTCGAAATTGTGAAATGGAAAAAAGGATTCAGTTTGAGAGTCCGACATTTTAGGTTTATTTTAATTTTCAATTTTCTGCAATTTTTAATTAAATTTAACGGCTGAATGGCAAAAATCGGACGAGCGGCTCGATTGGCTAACCGCCTCGGCCCCTCGTCAATCGCTAAATAAAACCAGAGCGGCTTTTCGACTGTTTCGAGCCGCTTTTGTGACCGGGTGTGGTTTTACCGGTCGGGCCGAGCGGCTCGGCTCGGCTTTAATAACACTAAGAAACCATATCCTACACAACTTTGGAAAACTACATTTTTGTCCGTGCATACCAATCATATCTAACGGCTCAAGGTTGATTGGAAAGACAAAGAGAAAGGAAACAGTTGACCAGTCAAATGCTACTTTTCTTAATCTTCCTATTTTTTTTAATTTTTAGAAATATCATCAAAAATAATTTTAAAAAATACCACTCATTTTGAAAAATTTCAAAAATATCATTGATATCCCCAAACTGCAGCCCCCTATGGCGTTTTATACAAGAACCATAAGGGGGCTGTTGTTTACGATAAAACCGCATGTGTTCGCAGTTGTTTGATTGACCGTAGGGGGTAGGGGCTGTTCACATGCAGACGGCATATGCCCCATTGCGGTTTGCATTAACTTGTTTTTCGATAAACGCCTAACCTAGGCGGAAACTTCAAACGAACGCAACTGTGTGATCGGGTATCCAACCGTAACGAAATTTTTTTGATTTCGCATGACTTTTCGTGATCGTGCGAGCTTCAAATGGCTGTAGGCAGTTTGGTCCCGCCTTCGTCCCGAAAAAACATCATTTGATACCCGAACGAGCAAGTTTTTTATTTCACCAAATTTTGATCGGCCATAACTTTGTGCTCCGCACTTCGAACGTTTTGAATTTTTTTTCGCATAACTTTTTAAGGACTACAACTTTTATCATACCGATAATTTCTCAATATACGTGGGTTTTTGAAAAGTAAAGGTAAAGTTATTCCCAAAACCCTGTATATCCAAAAATAATTTATGTTTTGAAAATTCCTCCCTAGTAAAAGTTGTAGTCCTTAAAAAGTTATGTGAAAAAAAAAAATCATGACTTTCGGAGATTGCGGAGCACAAAGTTATGTCAACCAAAGTTTGACAAAATCGAAAACTTGCTCGTTCGGGGTAGCAAATGACCTTTTTCGGGTCAAAAGCAGGACCAAAACACCTAGGTCCATATAAAGCATGCAAGATCACGAAAAGTTATGTGGAATTGAAAAAAATTTGCTACGATCGGATACCCAAGCACAAAGTTACGTTCGTTTGAAGTATGGGCATAGGTTAGCCTTGAGCAGGAAAAAATTTAGTGGTTTCTTGTTAACCGCCGCTACACCCCGCGGTCAATCAAACCGCCCCGACGCTATGCAGTTTTCAGCCGCCAGGAACAAAAATCCACCCCCCCCCCCGGGTTCTCGTGTAAACTGCACGGTGGGGTGGCAGTTTATGGAAAGAGTGGTATTTTTGGAATTTTTTGAAAATTGGTGGTATTTTTTTCAAAAAAACAATTTGGTGGTATTTCTGGCAAATTTTCTTATTTTTCGTAATCAAATCCTACAGAATTTGTTTTAACTCGGAATTTAAAAAAAAATTGTATAGTAAAAAGGCAAAATTCATCTGTATAGCCAAAACTTTGGCATTTGTGACAATAATAGCCATAATTTTGAAAGTTTCATGACAAATATAATCATTTCCGTTATAAACTTTAACTGTGGTAG